CAAACAATATTTTCATTCTTTTTTTTTCTTTTTATTAAATATCATTTTTTCTTTTTATCCTATTAACCCCTTATCCCTCATAGCTGTTCCATAAGAGCCACTGATAAAATAACTCTATAAATAGAATATTAGCCTGTCGAATATACCAATGGTGTGGCCTAATCCACCGAATGTTCTGTTCCTGGAGTTGGGCGGTTTGAGTGATGTAAAAATCATATGATGAAAAATGGGAATTGAACGACATCACAAGACTTAATTTTTTTTTTCTTTGATCATATTATTGATTGGACAGAAGCAGTATCTATCTCGTACTGTTGAAGTGATAGGAACAACGCAACAAGTAAACCGATAAAAATTGACATCAAAGAATGCATGGTTTTTCTACACCTATTGTCAAATTTAAGCCTATTTTTCTCTGATCCATTTTGTAACGTCTGAAGGAATTTAATTCATCATAAATACTATTTCGACTTCTCATGAGTTGAGGTCTATAACGTATATATTAACTTTGTTCTTGATTATCCTCCATCTGTCTAACAGTGATTACATGGTCAATTGTGTTCCTTAGTATGCATAATTCGCAGAGTTATCATGAAGCTTTTGAAATATATCTAATTCAGCAGTGGACTTCTTCATGGATTAATATCACACAGAAATTCCAAAAGATCTCTATCGACTTCAAGTAGGGAACATTTTGTTTAAAAAAATTTCGAATTTTTGCCTTTTTTTCAAAACTATCAATTTTGTAAATCATATATCTCAAAGGTAGAGAAATGAAACAAAATATTTTTTTTACCAATCGATAGCTTATGAAGTTCCCTACAAATAATGTCTTGGGAGTTTTTCAGTCTCATACTTTCTTTGTTTTCTGTGATCGTTCTACAAATGGGTCATATATGACCTATTGAGGGGTAATGGGTTAATTTCTATGATTTATTTTCAATATGAAAGTTAATTCAAATGGTAAATTAAAAAATATTTGTTTTCAAAACTTCTATTCAACTTTTTAGAAAAAAAATGTGTTTTTTTTAAAGGAAATATTTCAAGAATTAAATTGATATTATATTAATAAAGATTTATTTTAATTAGTTAACTAAGATAAACAAAATGTGTTTGGTTTATTCTATAATAATATTTGTTCGAATAAAAATAAAAATCTTCGACAAGATATTTTCCTTCGTTTTTTTTTGTTAATTCGATTTTGAAAATTTTTGAGAAAAAAAAAAGATTCATTGAATATGTCGAATAACTAACTAAAACTGTTTAGTTATTTCTCTAGAAAAAATGATAAAATCAAATAAACAAATTCAATATCAAAAGATAATCTTATCTATTGAAAATTTTCATTCAATAACGAAAACTTTTTCAACAAATCGATTTTAATCAAATTCAATCAACTTTTTTTCTCTTAAATTAAATTCCAAGGCGTTCTACGGTCAAAAATAAAGATTGATACCATAGGGAATTATCGTCATTTTTCTCTAATATCTTCTATATAAAGTGTGCTCTCGAAAGAAAAACAAGTATTCGCCGTAGACAGGCTTTAAAATGGTTTGTTGATTAGATAATATAGAAATAAAATAAATCTTTATTCGTCGATTGATTTTGATGATAATTATCGTCTTATGAGCATAAAATGGTCATTGGTTATCGAATTATCTTCATAGTTTGATAAGTTTTTAGAAAAGGTCGACGTCAATTATCATATTTAATAGAATTTCAGATGAGTTTATTTTCGTCAAGCTTGATTATGAAAAAGAAATAAATTCTTTTTAAATCGCTGATGTATCTTATCAAATGAGTTCTCATTATTTTTTCATGATAAATATTGAAAAAAAGAAAAATAAAATATTCTAAAGGGCCAATTTTTTTTATTACTAGATTGGACTAAATATTTCAGTGTTTTTAAATATTTATCATATTCATTATTACGATTATTTGAAATTAGTGAAAAAAGATAATTATATATGTATAATATTGTATTAAATAAATCAAATAATAAATCTTACTGTTGATTGATCTGTTGTATTCGATTGAAATAATTTTCTTGATACATTTGTTTTATTTGGTGATTGATTAAACATTCGAGTTACATTATTTATTGATGATAAGGAATTATTTATATTTGATTGAATTGATGATATTGTTTTATATGATAAAATACCTTTTAATTCAATATCATTCCATAATAAGGATTTTGCTGAAAAAGCCATTGATGATAAAATATTTTCTTCAATTGATGATAAATATTTAATAAATGGTGTTGATTTACGTATTTGTTCACACGTTTGTAAAAAAATTTGTATGATTTTTAACAACGAATATCCATCTAATGAATAAACATGTAATATCCAATTAAAATCATGATATCTATCCGAATGAGCATATAATACTAATAATAAACATAAACTGAGGAGAGATCGAATAAATTCATTATTTAATATTAATTTACTAAAATAAATCAATTTAGTTATTTATTCATTTAAAAGAAAAATCGTTTACTGAAATGATTGTTGAATTTGTTGTGAATTAAATTTATTTATATTTAATCTGCCTTTTTCAATAGTTAAAATATTTTCAATAGAATAATAAAATAATTTTAATGACAAATCAAAACGTGATTTACATGATCGAGATGGATTTTCTTCTCGACTTATTTTATTAACATTTTCTGCTAAATCATATTGATTATTAAATGAATGTTCATATTCATTTAAACGTTCAACAAGATCATCTAAATTTAAAAAAAAAAAAATTTTATTTTATTTTTTGTTTTTTATCAAATCGAACATTATTTATTTAATTGATACTTTTCAAATAATATATTAAATTAATTAACTAAATAACTCTAATTTTCATATTTCTTATTATTTTCAATTTATTCTCATAAAAAAATCCATTTAATTATTTCTATTATCTTTATTTTAATTAAAATAAAATTCATTTTTATCTATCTAACTGATTATTATTAAAACGAGTTTATTCTTAACAAGGAAAGATTTATAAAATGAAGTTTTTCGAGAGAAAAAAAGATCAACGAACAAAGAATTAAAATTTTAAATCGTATATATCATTCAACGATCATTTTAAATAAATGTCAATATAATACAAATGTTCAATTCAATATATTCTTATTTAACGAGAAAATATCTTTAATTAGAAACAAAAATTCCTTGCTTAATTTAATTATTTTTTTTTTATAAAAAGAATACTTAAAAAAATAGAATGTCTGATATAAATATAAATAAATATTTATTTGTTTAAGTTAATAAAAAAAAAAAAGATAGTGATGATAATTGTCTGTTCGATCGTCACGAAAATTATGTATCGGATTTATCTCTCGATTTCTAATAAAATTTTTTTTCTTTTAAGTCTCTTGGTCATTTTAATGCAAACTATTTATTTTATTTACATTTAATTCCATTCTATAATATCAATTCTATATCGATCAACTCTCAACACAATTATTATTGAAATATAGTTCAAATCTGATTGTTAATTAGGTTAATCGTCTCTTTCCTATGCAAATCAATATGAGTAAAACAAGTCTGACAGTTCTTATCATAGATTCTAATGTAACATTTAGCTAAGAACTATTTGTGTTGTCATCAGTCTCCTCCGCCTATTACCGAAGGTAAACTAATCATAGTTGACTTCTAGTGGGTCGCTGCTACACTGATCAAAAAGGTGACATTGACAAATTGAAATAGGTTTCGAATTAGTTTCAATTGTCGAAAGGCTTTTTATTTTCAATGCATGAACGGGGAAAAACGCAAAAGATAAAGTTAAAAGTTCGACTAAGAAAATCTTATGATGAAAGAACATGATGAAGGTTTGAGAAAGAAAAACAAATTTGTTTTATGTTCGATTTGATAAAAAAGGAAAAAGAAAAAGAAAAAGAAAATTTAACCTAAAAAAGTTTGTTGTCCAATAATTGAAATAAGATTATCTGTTGGTTTTGTTTGTTGTTGTTCAACAATTGAATATAATAATTTAATTAAATGATTAGCTTGAGATATGGGTGTTAAATATTGATTAGAAGAAATTGTTTGACCATCATTCGATGCAAAATGTTGATTTGCTGTTAATGGTGTTCGATTTTCAGAAGATTTTGAATATCGATTTTCATTTAATGAATTACATAAGTCATTTAATTGAGATTTTTTTTCTAAAAAAATTCTTTCATCAATTATACAGTTTGTTAAAACAATTTCATCATATTGACGATTTATATCACGAATTGTTTCTAAATAATTAAATTCATTTAAAAAATCTTCGTTTTTATCAACACGTTTCAATAAATCATTTTTTAAATGTTGTTCGATTATTGCTCGACACGTATCCGATGAACAACAATACATTATACATAAGTTATCGATTATGCTTCCATCATTTGAACATAAATCATTTAAACAACAACCTTAAACAAAAAAAACAACACTTTTCTTTTCTTTTTTTAATGTTTTTATTCAATTTATTAGATTTAGTTTAATAAAATTATTTCGATTATTATATATTTATTCGAACATTTTATTTATTTGTTTCGAATAAATAATTCAAATTAGTTTGATTTTGTTGACAACAAATATCGATTTCTAACATAATAAACAACTCGAACAATAAATATTCGACTTATGAAACTCTACAATTAATCTATCATCGTTTCAAGTAGAATAGATTGAATAACTCGTTTAATATGATGAAATATAAAGTCTAATATGAATATATCCTTATTTCATTTTATTGAATAAATTAAAATAAATCGTTTATCATAGATATATATTTTTAATGAAATAAAATAAACATTTAAATTGCTCATCTATTAAACAATCAATATAATTGATGAAAATTCCGAGAAGATTTAATAGATATTTATATTTCTATCGTATGTCGAGAATATATATTTATATATGAATACAATCATTATTTGTAAATCTTATTTATAATTATATTATTTATAAATGATTATTAATCGATTGTTCATAGTTATGAGTATAATATCGTTTAAATGATTAAATTGTCAAATATGATTTGAAATAATCGTTAATCATTTTCGATTATTTACGTTTTCATCGATTAAGAATCATATTGACAAGAAAATAGGTTTTATTTCTAAGTTATCGATATATATATTCGATAAAAAAAATATTTGCAATGATTTTTATTTAATAATATATTGATAAATCTCGAAATAAAATATTTAATTTAATTCTATATTGAACAATCGAAAATTGAATTTATTTCAGATCTGATCTCAAAGATTTTTAAATAAAAATCCATATTATTAAATAGATTTTTATTTTAAAGAATTCCAACGAGTTTTTAAAAGTAAATTATCTTTTATATAGATACATAAAACTTTTAAAGTTTAAATAAAATAAACAAAAAAAATCTCTTAAGAAATCCTCATTTTCATAAGAAGTGAAAAAGAGATTTTTTAATTGAAAAAACAAAAATGAATGTTTAATAATTAAGTCGATTAAAATGATATATATAAATAAAATCTTCTAATCGAGCGTTACCTTTAAGTAAATAATCTAATTTGGCTAATTTGACATAATCATAAATAAAAGAAAAAGAAGAAATAAGTAAATGAAATGAAGCAATAAGATCATTTATAGTTGATGGATAAATTGTTTTAGCTAATGCATATATTGTCCATATAAGTGAATATAAATCTTGATGTGAACATTTATGTAATTTATTTTTTGTATTTAATTTAGGATTTATTTGATTTGATGCTCTTTTATATTGATAATCGGAATAAATTAATGTATCTTGATTTCCACCAAATATTTCAATAAATATTTTCGTATATTTTTCAAATATAATTGATGATATATTAAAAGCATGTTCAACTTGATCAATTTTTGATCGAATTGAATCAGGTAAATTGGCCATATCTTCCCATTTATGTAATTTATCAAAAAAAACAATTAATTCTAAATGATTAGCACTTTTTAATAAACGTGATATTGATATTGGATTATTATCGTTTGTTGTTAGATGTTTATATCTTCTACATGATACATATAATGAAACAGCTAACCAATGTAATTGATCATCTTCTAAAACATAATGTTTACGAATATGTTCATATGAACGCCATGCATCTAACTTTGTTTCCATATCCATATTTAAATCAAGACATAATTTTGAATATAACATTTCAACTGATTCATCATCTTTATTTGACATTTTACTTTTTTTCTTTTTTATTCTAAAATAATAGAAACAAAAAACAAAAAAATTGACATTGATTTAAATTTAAAAAAAACTTACATTAAAAAATCAAATAAATGAAAATTTATTGAAAAACAAAATTTCAAAATGTCTTTATTAGTTCCTAAAGCTTTTATTTCTATATGATAAATGTCAATGTTCGTTCGTTGACAGATTATTCTAACGAAAATTCAATCATATTTATATTCGTCTACATTTAGAGTTTTTTTTTCTCTGTCGTTTGTGTTTTTTCCCAAATTGATTTAATCGACCAATGAACAAATATTTGTTTGACTTAGTTCATTGAAAGGTCATCATCTACGAGGAAAAAAAAACATACAGACAAGAAAATAACCAATAATCTTCGTGTTTTTTTAATTCAATTGATAATATCAGTCAAACTAACAAAGATTATATTGAGGGTGTGGGTGGGTGTGAATGTGGGTGTGAATGTGGGTGGGTGTGGGTGCGGGTGCAAGTAAATGGAAAGATGATGTTCATCCACACCCTCCAGCAACCCACACACACCCATACTGCACTCACCCACACCCACCCTCACGCTGATTCTTTTTGCCAACTGACATTTTCCAAAACTATCGTACTTTTGGAATTATCAAGACCACAGAGTCAATACTTAAAACGTGTCAAAAATAATTTCCGCTACGTTCCCTAGTGGAAGTACTCACCTAGAGAGTAATCAAAAAGTACTCACGCTGGAAAATGCCGCGAGTACCCATGAGTACTCGGGACTTTTGAGTACTCATCAGTCGTACTCATGATGAGTTTCGAGTATATGAGTACTACACATCCTTACTTTCATGGCAGTGTATTCTGGTTGAGTACTACGATCGGTCATTTCTTATACTTGGTAGCAACTAGACTATTTAAAGTCCGATTTTGTTGCCCTTTGAGGGCTTCGTAGACTCTGGATAAGTCCGCTTCGCTGCAACGCCACAGTCACAGAAGGAAATTATCTTGTTAAAATTATGAACTTATCGTCCATAGGAAGTCAGCGCACGATATCTTCTTCGTCCTTACACATTTCATTTTATATATAGAGTCTTTTCAGAAAAAAAGACCACGAGTACTACAATGAGTACTCAGGGTCTTGGCTATGAGTAGATGTGTAGTGGAAGATTCGTCTGAGTACGTATGTGAGTACCCGGTCATTTTACATACTCATGAATTTTTGAGAGTACTCGCTCGAGTTATCTGAGTACTCATGCTGGCAAGTCGTACTCTCTGGATGAGTACATTCACTAGGGTTCTTCTTTGATTATCTGGTACCATCCTATATGTTATATTTAACGGTGTGTTGGATAGAGCGTATGAATATATTAAAATCAAATCATGCATAGCTCTTTTGGGAGAAGTCCAACTCTGAGATTTTATCGTCCAAAGTTTGAAGAACTTCTGAAAAACCAACATTGCTCAGTATGATGACTTACTAGGTTTTGTAGACCAACTCTTATACTACATCTGTGCTAGACAACTTCCAAATATCCCGGAGTCCCACACATTCTATCAACAAATTATACACCAACTGACTATGAAATAAGCATTCGATGCTTGGACTAGATTGGTAACTGAGTGCATATGAGTAATTCGCGACGAGGAACTCAATGGAATCATTGCCGAAAGGTTTTCTGGTGAAACTAACAGAAAGATTGGTTGCTTGGCAAATTTTCGGTGAGAATCCGGTGTTTCAACTTTTCGGTTCCCGTTTCATCTTAGCGCCTGGGAGCTGTCGATCAATGCGTCGTCAATTTAGGGAAGAAGGGCTAGCGAAAAGATGGCGGTCGATGGTGGATAGTGGGGAGTCAAAAAGGTCGAAAGATCGATGGTGTCGTTGGTAGAGAGCCCTCTGTGCGTGATATTTAGAATTGTTTGAAACAGCGAAAACCGTCTACAGACAAAATTTCAACTCATTAGCTATTGATTTCCTTGACTTTCAAAAATTAGGCTACTTCGACAGGTCCATAATAAAAACCATTGTACCTAATTTTTCATCCATGTGTTCTAAGATAACTCGAACATTTAACGTGCTTTAGTGTTCAATTGTGCATAGTATCACTACGCAAAAGTTTCATGAATGACGGCTGCACTGTGTATAACACGCTGGGTGTCTCTGGACAACAGTCATCTGAGCCGTATCCGTTGTTTGGATATGCACTCGTATATGAAACATTACTCACCTTCACCTCTCTTGAATAGGGGTTGAATTTCATGAAGATTTCAAGCTCAACTTCATTACTAAGCTAATTAAACTCAGAGATAGAAGTTTATTGAAAATTCGCTGCCAAAGGAAAACTTCATGCAAAAGCGACAAACTACAAACGCTGAGTGTAACCTATAAAGTTATACAAGAAGCCTGGTCTTGGTTAGGTTTTAGTGCTTAATTTTCAACTGTGTTAATCACTGTAGATTATATAATTCACTGTTTGGTAAGGATTTAAAATACTAAACGTATGTGCACCACCTACAGCACCACTTTGACCGATAATTGAATGACTATGACTACCAGCTGTATTAATGCTTATACGCGTTTTATCAATAGAAATGGAATGTGAATGTAAGCCATGATCACTGCTGCGGCCACCTGTTGGTTTATACATGGGCATAGTTCCTCCACTGTACGCTGAAGTGCCCGTCTGTCCACCGTGATAATGTCCAGGATCATAATACGAATGTGAATGATCACCTGCTGTTAGAGTAGAATAGGTACCTTGACCGTGAACATGTGATGGTAGTTGGTCTAGTGTCAAAGTGTGTGTTGCTTGGCCGCCTCTCATGCCCAGTTTTCCTGCGTTGTTAACGGGTGTGGATGTGGGTGTGGGGTGTGGCTGTGACTGTCGCTGTGGCTGTGGGTGGGTGTGTGGCTGTGGCTGTGGGTGGATGTGGGTGTGGGGGTGGGTCAGAATACACTTCAACACCCACATCCACCGAATGTCGACACGATCCCCATCAGTGAGAATGGATGTAGGTGCGAGCGTGAATGCGCTATCCATTAGCATCCACATCCTTTTTCTATTTTACCTTATTATGCTGTCGTATTTGTCATGAAATTTATGACGGTGCAAAGATAAAGCAAGACAGTTTTATTACTGTGTGATCTATACATCAAAATGAAATAAAACTTTCATGTCATATCTCTCTCCTCACTAATAAATTTAATGCAAGGTTTGACAGCGTAAAAAGATAAAGAGGGAAAAGGTTCTGTCCGGGGATGTATGTCCTAAAAGGGAACCTATGCATGTTTTTTTTCAGATATTTAATTCCTAAAGAAGAGTTAAAGAACCGGTTTTAAAATGAAATGATGAATATAAATCTGAAGATGATGTACGTTTGCTGTTTATTTATCTATTCGGAACTTGATGGACTAAAAACATGAGTGATGACTATATAATAACTACGAAGAAACTTTGATAGGAGGTTACATTTAAGACACTATATCTCAACAAGGGTTTAAACGCGCATTCATTAAAGATAGATGATGACATACTCTACCAAATAACAAATTAAAACTTGAATTAAAGTTCGGGGAAAGTCCTGGAAAATAACTGCATTATTAACCAGTGCTTATTTTTTACTATACTTGATAGTGTGAGTCATTCTTTATTCTATACCTGTACGCACACCAACATCCAGTGTACAACTTAATTCTATCTTTTGTTCATGTTTACCACAGATGTTTCATCGAGTTCACTGCTTGTTTTTTTGCAAATCGAATAATTTTTATGCGAAAACTCGATAAACTTTTTCTTTCTCCTGAAGAATGCTCATGATCTGCATACTTCTTCAAGAACCATGCTTATTTCGTTTTTGATTAAAGACATTTTTTCTAGTCTTCTAGTCATGTCTACTTACATGCCATGAGTCAATAGAGAGTCCAATGTTTTCTCTTTATTCTATTCACAAGTACCTGTCAACATTAACTGCAATACACCATCGCATAACTATTTAACTTTGAAAAATGTCGTGATAAAAACTTCAAGGTCAAGATAGAGATTCATATTTAGGTACCCTCCAATTTAATTTCATTGAGTATTAGGAAAGAACTGACAATTTTTGACATAATTCAATGTATTTATTTCAACTTTTTGTTTGCTGAAAAACAAGTATTCCTATCACACACATTGTTGGCTTTGTTAATCTGTTATGTCTACTTTGAACTGGCTTCGTTATAAAGAACGGCAGTTGTTAAGCAACTAAATTGATCTTATTTCAAAATTGATTTTTATATTTTCCAAATAGTCAGTCAAGACATCAGGACTCGGTTGCTGTTAGATTTTATTTCGGCTGCTCGCAACTAACTCAAAACTCGATATTACTGATCTCCTATAGTGTTATACACTACAGTGTTGAGATGGAAAGTTTATCTCCCTTCTTGAACTGCTTTAATTTGAACTATATATTAAATGAAAGGTCATTTTTTCTGCTATCGAATGACATATACAACTATAACAAAATATTCTTCTTTCTGTTTTGCTTTTCGATGACATTGTTCATTTGTATATACGAAATTAGAATATCCATGACAAAACTTCCTCACTGGTAAGCTCTGAAAGCAGTGGTCCACTTTGAAGCTCTACAAATGGCTTCTATTTACATTGAGCTTGATTTGTAAGTAAAACATCCCATTCAAATGCACAATATTCAAGAGCACTAAGAATTGCTCTTTTTTCACTGATATTTGATCAATTTTGACTTGAATAATTAGACTTTTCATCTATACAAACGATGTATTTAAAATGAGCAGAAAAAAAACTAATTGAGTCTATGCGTGTCACAAAATGATCCATCAAGTGTCACATTCCTTCAAAAATCAAATCGTGGTCCCCCTCAGGGATAATTGTGACATTCATAGATCAACTCAGTATTTTGTACTCATTTCCAATATATCATTTTTCTTAGTAGAAAGTGTAATTATTCAGGTTAAAATTGCTCGAATATCAGTGAATAAGAGCTGTTTTTGATGTTCTTGAACATTCTACATTGAAATAAAGTATTTTACTCACAAACCACGCTTGATGCAATCGTAACATTTTGTAGAGCTTCAAAAGGTCTATCGAATAGTATGTAAATCAAAGTGGGCCGCTACTTTCACAGCTCAACAATGAGGAAGTTTTGTAATGGGTATTCTCATTCTACATAACAGAAGACAAACATTCTATATAAACACTGCAATACATAATTCTATAGGTGATCAGTAATATTGAGTTTTGTGTGAGTCGCAAGCAACTCAAATGAGGCCTAACGGTCTGACTTTAATGCTAACCAACTTCTAACATCTTAATTGACTCCGAAAAAAATTAGAAAATTTAGCAACGAGTGTTAATTAAAGATGACTTTAAAGTCCTCACAACATTTACACAATCTTTATATTTGTTGTCGTTAGATCATTGATTTTTAGCAATGTGGCACGTGTACAGATGAGTTAAAAATTGTCTCGGATGGTCATGTGAAACTTTTGATGGACTAGTAGTACGAAAAGGTGTAGATGACCACATGAACCTTCTGCCAAAATAATACTGTAATCCGAACAAAATAATAATCGAGTTTAAGCAACATGTCAAGAAATATAATTGCAGAAATATTTGTGTGAATGATTGATAATGATGAATTAATGAAATCCGTGACAGTAAGTTAGTCTTTCGTTAGTTTATTTGAAGTTTTGAAATTGAAACCTATATGTCAATACTATCGATCAACAAGAAGAAGAAAAAACTTTAAAAAAAACACGTTAGTATAAGATTCCTGCTGAAGAGCTAATCGTTCTAAGGTCTATTTGCTCCTATGCAAATAGAAACTGCTGTGTTAATGTTCGCTTTGGCAAGAAGTAAGAAAGAAAACAAAACGCGCTAGGATATATTTATTGGCAACAAGTTTATTCTTGTTCATGTTTAACTTGTTGTATTGCAAATGAAATTGATTTACAAACATGATTCATCGCCAATAAACTAAAAGAAAAAAGAAGAATATGCAAACAGGAATAAAATATGAAAAGATCAAATACGTGATATTTTGCTAATCTCTCTTCATTTTTTTTTGCAAGGTTGAAAATAAAGCCTCTTTGTAAATGTCGCTCACTTGGAAGAACAGCAAAAAGAAAAAGCACAAAAAAGAAGAAATAAATCTGACATCATAAATTTTATCCACAGAATTTCATATTCCGCACGAACACATACCCTGAATAGTATTATAAAAGTATATGTTTGAGATTTCTCAACCATAATATATTCGTTCATTGTTACGGCATATTTCGAATCATGACTCATTCATATTTAATGATCAATTCTCTGAGTAATGCGAAATCTACTCGTCATTATGAAATTCGTGAGAAGATATTCTCGCTGCGTAATAATTACGAGATCAAAGACGAATTGGATCAAGATGTTTTCATCGTTCGATCAAAATTGTTAACAATCGCTGACAATATTCTTTTAGAAAATATGGCTGGAAAGTAAGTTCATGTATCAGTTCTAAGTTGTCTTGCAAACTATTGTTTTATGAAAATTTATTCTACTCTCGAATAATGAGTCAGATCAGTTGAATGAGACTCAAGGCTGTTCATGCATATTTTATTAATAAAATAAAATACCTAATATTATTCATCTATAGTAAGAAATCTAAGAAAGTTCAGAGAAATCACCTCGAACTGACTCAATATCAAAGGAAGAACACCGAATTCGCTGAAATACCATTTGAACAACTAAGAGATATGTACTGTCAGTATATCAAAATTGCCTAGTGATTATTGCTCGATATTTGCAAGAATTAGTTAGAGAATCCAATCTTCTAAATATTTACGAACTCTATAGATTATCGAATAATTACCATTTTTATTGACAACACTATAGTATTCTTTTAGAAAATGATAGAAACACACGTAACAAAAGGAAGAGTGGCATAAGAAAATACTACACAACAGGATACTGAGAGAAAACAAATGATTACGCACACATGAATAGATGTTTCAATTCGTTGGGTCTTCATTGAATTTTGATGTGTGAAATATAGCTGAGAAGCAAATCGATCAACGTTTCTTGAAAATATTTATCAACAGTGATAGAACTTACATATTAAATGATTGTCTCATATTGATAATATTAGATCATTTTTTCAACTGAAATATTAATTACATCAAGATTGACTTGCACTTGACGTACATCTACTTTTTGTTCTTGTTCATCCAGCTCGCTTGAGACTAACGATTGGTTCATGTAGTCACAAATGCTACAGAGACATTAGGTATTAATTGAAAGTAACGATAGATTTTTTCTCATAGACAGGCAAACTTTTCGATTCCATCCACTGTTATCAGGTAATCAAAGTTATATTCGAGAAGTCTGTGGACATAAGGTCTAGAATCCTATTGTCTCGTTCGACTAGTACAGAGCAAATTTTATCGAGATGGTTTGGAACAGTATTCTATTTTGCCTTATGTTGTATCCGAAAGTCTACAATTTCTACTTTTAGTGGCCTGGTGAAGATCGAAGAAGAATTACTTCATTTAAATCCAACATACAAAATATTGTCCGCACGTGATGGTGATGCGTGTCGCCAATTAGCATTAGTTAAGAAAAAATTTTCATTGCATGAAAAATTTTCCGTCGATTCAGTCTATGGTGAATATGAATTGGAAGCACTAGATTTGTTAGGTTGTTTATTCACATTGGTAAAAGAAGGACGCATAGTGGCAACTGTAAGCAGGAAATACGACACTGTGGCTGACGCCTATACAGCAGAAATCGATGGGGATGAAGATCATGCATTCATCATAGCACTGATAATTATCATTAGTCAATCTCTGTGTTATTACTAAGATTTGAAATCGATTTAAGTGACAATGAACTTAGTGCAGAATGAACAAAACTGAAAACAAAGAATAAAATATGCTTGTCTTATATTTTATTATTTATCTCGGAATGTTTTCATTTCTGTCTGACGATCACTTGATTGAAATAATTCAAAAGCCTATATGCGATCATTATGATAATAAAATGAATATGTTCGTCGAGAGTATCGGTATGGAATGAGATGTGAGTGGGTGTGGTTCAAGAGTGGAATTACACCCATAGCGACACCCCAACAACAAGCAGACGAGATAATTAGTACCATTACACAAAATAAACGAAAGAAATTTCATTATTTGCATAACAATATTGTATTGTCAGATTTTTTTGACAGGTTTTAACATATTTACAAACATTAAATTTACATGCATCTTGTTAATTATCATATTGATGGCTTATGTTTTCAAAATCGAATGCAATTTATTATTGATTATAGTAATATGCTATTTGTCAATATGTGTTTTTTTCAAATAATACATGCGTGTAACATAATTTTTAAATTTCGTCGATTATTCTTCACTATTGAAAAAGAAGATTTACAACTGTATTTATTAATCGTCATTCTCGTTATGCAAGTCATTGTTATTTTAACAAAATGAGAATTATGTATGTTATGTTAAAAAGGGTGTTGGTAGTCTTCAGATGCACACCCACAGCCACACCCGCACCCTCACACCCCTTGTTTTTCTTTAGATTAAATATTGATGAAGATACTTTATCAACAAAAAATAAAACTGATGATAATCAATCGAATATTCAATTGAAAATTACAACATATGATTTGTTTGATAATGATCAATTTCAATCATCGATGGATGGTAATTATTTAATTAATATTTTACCATTTGTTCATCAATCATCAAATCATTACGTTTTATCATCCAATCATGAATTAAAGAATGATAATCGTTTACTACATAATGAAGTTTTAACAGATGGTAATCAATTTGGTGATGATAATATTTCACTAAATCATGATTACGTACAAATTAATTGCATTTTACCAGAAATAGAACAATAATTTCCAAGAAAGTTTCTCCTCAAAACGATATTTTTTCGAAAATTTTCCCCAAACTCGTGTTCCCGCGCGCAGGTAGATTCTGCATCTCTGTTGATAATAATCAATGTGATGATATTAGTACCTTGTCGATTAATGATGATATGAATGATGATGTATTACCAGATTATATTCTACAACTCAAACAAGAAAGATAAGGAATGATAAGTAATTCTGATAGTGAAATTGATGAAACTAAATTACAGTTTCAAGCAATTAATGATAAATTATACTATTTAATTGAGATGAAACATCAAAAAAATGAAGAACTATTAAAAAAGATTAATGAACATATAAGAAAATACAAAAGCAAAAAGTAAATATATTTTTAGAAAAATTTAATTTTAATTTAAGTAGATCAGGTTTTAATAAAGTACAACGAACATGTGTAAAGCGTGTAAAAAATCGATTATTTTAATGCTCATCATTAACAAAACTGTAAGTATTATCATTAGATATTTTTAAAAAAATCTGTAATGTAATTATTTATATCTTTTAGGTTTGATGCACCAACATTCTAATATAATGAAGGTACTACATTGGTCAAGCTGGCATCATTTAAATTATTTTTTTTTCTTTGTTTTTTTTTTTTGTATTTTTTGCTGATTCATTGTACAATTAAAGGGATGATTGAAATAAAAAATTATTATTTGTCTTGAAGATATTTAAATTGAAATATTCTAAGAAAATATATGAGGCACTCAAAAATGTTTTTTTGTTCTATCTTAAATCAAATGAATAATTGAAAGAGTTTTTATAGAAAAATAACTTAGGATAAAAAAATGAGTCCTTATTCATCTATCGAAATGTTTGAGTTTTGATTGTAGATCATGTTTAGATTATAATAATAATGATTGATAATTATTCATACGGCTGAGTAGATGTTATTTTATTGATCCTACATAAATGTCTTACATAGATAATTTAACTTATACGTTATTTGAGAGAATATTTATCAAGTATAATCTTACTAGAAATTAAAATATTCATCAATGTTTTGATTGATCAATACCTTAAAAATCCTTTGTTTGTTTCCATGATCAATCATAATCACTTCTTTCTTCGTTAAGCATAGGTCAAATATGTCTTGAATGAATACCATTTTTAATACTCGAAATTTATAGATTAAAAATGATATAAATAATTTAGAATTCTTTTGTTCCAAGATGCTTGATCCTGACAACTCACCACTAAATCGACAGAACCTTCTTTGTAAATTAACTAAATTTTTCATCATATAAATATAACAACTATAAACTATAGTCATCAAAATTTAATATATATAAACGAAGAAAGCTTATCAGTATGATCAAAGATGTCAACAAATCACTTTTTTCGGCATTATCTGCGGGCATTTGATACATATTGAAAATGTTGATTTCTTTTTGTGTACTCAAAAAGTGAGTACACTATAGAATTGGTCAGAGTATCCATCCGACCGTTTACACGATAACTCTTCAAAGAGTAATCCGATTGTGATGAAATTTTGCATACCGAATTGTCTCATCAATATCTCGGTGGAATTCGAAGATGAGAATGATTCGTCAAGAAATTGCTGAGTTACAACAAACAATATGATTATTTCCCATGCTTTTCTATGGGAACATCGACCTATTCCCATTTTCGTAAAAAAATTTTTCTCTCATAATCAAAAAAACCTTAATTATTATATACCATTCGATAGAGAATTTCACAGATTACAAAATGGTATATAAAAAATTAAGAAACCAGAAGGCTAAATCATCTATTACAGAGACACTTACTTCAACTGAAACTGATGACTATTACCTTATGAGTCAATGAATTGCAAGAACAGTACCCGTATGCATAGTTCTTCTGCGATCTTTATTGACTTATGAGTCATCATAGCATATCTAGACATCAAAATTATCCTAACAAGCCGCTTTTTCCTAAAACTCGATTTCTATTTTAGACAATTTGATCAAAACCAATCTGTCGTCAATTATTTTTGTAAAACATGATCTGAAAAGAGTGTTGAAGTGTTTAGGGGTAGAAATTAGGACCCTCTTCCCGTCCTCCCCCGCAGACCGTGACAGAGAAACAACATAGTATATTGAATAAGAAGTCTTGATTGAACTTTTCTGTTGTTTGTAATTGGTTAAAACTAAAATTCGTTCTTAAATTTCATAGAAAAAAAAAATTTCTCGCATATTTAAATTTGAGGAAATCATTTATTGGTCAATTATGGATATAAAACGAAAATAGGTAGATAATTTGCCATAAAGATGTATTATTTCATTCGAAATAAGAGAGATTTTTATTGTATATTCAAGACAACAATTATACTCATATCTCACATGTATTGCTTTTTGTAGAAAATACATGCATCAATATTCGATCTGATTTGCAAATAGAAAACAACAAGAAAAATAATTGTTGAAGTAATTTCTCAATAGTATTAACTGTAAACTTTGTTTTAAAATTAATAAAAAAAAAATGCTATAAAATATAGATTAAAAAAAACACAATCAATACTTTCGAAATATTTTTTTTTTTATTATAAATTCATAAAAATCAGTAAGATTATTCAAAGTTATTATTTGAATTAGTTAATTTTAAAATGTTAAAGTAAGTCTTTTCCATGTTATATTATTAACATTAACATCAACAACAATTACATCAGAATTATTTTCTTGTGAAAATATTAGGATCCGTTCAGCTATTAAATATTTTCCTGGTTCGATCTAAAATTTAAAAATATTTATCTTAATAAACATATAAAATTCAAAAATTCTTACATTATTAAATGTAATTTTATTTGAATTTAAAAATCGAATACCATTTGATGATGGAAATAAAAATTCTAATTTAAAAAGTTTATAGTATTTTGATATTACACATAAATGTATACGTAAAGTATTAACAATTCTTTCAAAATGCCAATAACATGTATAAGGTGATTGAATAAGGTCACTCATATGATTTTGAATTTTATCATTTGAAAAATATTGCCAATCAATTGGTAAATAAAGTTGTTTGTTCTGTAAAAATATATACAGTGTCAATTAGAATTATTCAACAAGATTTTTTCTTCAATTTTTTCCGCTCTCTCAAACATTAAATAGAATCCAAATAGTGCTTACATAAAAAATAAGAAAAAAAATCCACATCAGGTTCTCGCATATAATTAGCTCAAAAATATTGTGGAGAACTCGGAGATGTCTCATTTTGTAGAGTATTGTTTGCTCTATCGTTTTACATGGTCTGAACAAAATGACGATTCTTTATCCTAGATGCTAAACAACTAGATTTTGGATTTTTAGAAAATTTCCTAATGAGTTTTCTGTTTATATATTCTTGTTGTAAATAGTTTTCTCTATTTAGATTCATTTTAGCGTTTAAAGTATCGAAGAAAAATTGACAAGAAATCTTCTTGAATGATTTTGATGGTCATTTCATTGATAACAGATGGGATTAGAGAACTTTTGTAAAGCTTGAAATTTTGCATCTGTTAACATAAAAAAAAAGATAAGTTTTTTGTAAGTTCAAGTTCTAAGAAAATTCCTTAAGAAAAGTAGCATATCCTGACCTGAGAATACCTATTTGATGTTTTCTACTTTTCAAAGATGAAGTAAATTAGCTGATCAAATTGAACACATCACTGATTATAAGAAAGGAATTTTTAAACTTAATCTAATCAGGTAGAAATGGTTTTTACACATTTTTGATTGTGCTGTTGTTGAGCAGGTGATACTTTTGTGCTATCCAACTCTTTAAAATAACCGTACACACTTATTTAAAAAAAGAACATATCAATAAAATCTATATAAAACTCTTCATTTTTTCGCATCAGAATAGTGGTGGAGCGAGAAAAATCTTGTAAGGGACGCTCAGCTTCAGTTTGGCATTGAAAAGGAGATATATTTTTCAATTACAATATAGGAACGTCTCGTTGCTGGAGGAATCTGAACACCTCTAGTCGTCTGCTGACTCCATCACTATATCAGAAACAAACTTTCTGATCCAGTGTAATTCGCGAAATAATTCTAGTAAAAAAAACCAAAGAATTTAATCGGCCTCGCTCATTATATATATATTCAGATAAGACCAAAGAAAAAATACTAACCGAATTGGTTGTTTTATAATGAATATGTGTAGGTAATTGTGTTCGAATATCAGTAATTAATTGATTTAAATCAGATGAAAATGTATTTAATTTAATTTTATCTTGTTTTAATAATAATACTGAAGACTCTGATGGTTTTATTGTATTATTTTGAAACACAATACCTTCTGATAACTGATTATCAATTGTACAACATATGAGATATGATAAATCACTGAAGAGATAGATGATTCAAAATAGATAAGATTACGAAAACTATGTCTTACTCTTCATCATTTTGTATATCATTAATTTCAGATGTTACTGATGAAAGATAATTAAGACGAAGTTCAGTTATATTTTGTCGACAATAACCATTTGTATTTGATGATTCATTTGAATAATTTATACGAAATTCAATAGTTAAACACTAAAAAAAAAATAAATATAATCAAAAAATAAATAAGAATTTTGTATAAAATCTTTTTCATATGTTCTACCTCAATATTTGATGTTGATCGATCTTGTCGAGAAAGACAACGATTATAAATTTGTGTAAGATCTATTTTTGGTTTTGTACTTTTTTTAATCAATATCGGTAAATCAAATTCTGTAATTTTGACAGATTCTAAATATAAATTCAATAGATAAATTAATTTCTCATCTTTCTATTTGATGCAAACCAGTCATATTGGAACCAAATGCAAAAACTTGAATTTCCAATGTATCAATATCACATTCTGATGATGAATTAATTAATCCAAGTGTTACAAATAATCTATTATTTAATAAAAAAAAACCAATATCATATTAATTTATTCTTAGAACGTACTCAGAAGGAAAACAGTGAACGTCAAAGAGCAATATAAGAAATTTTTTTTAACTTTCAAGACTATCTAATCACTACCTAATGTGTCTATAGATCTAGTTTCAGTTGGAAAGTCTTTGTTTTGTAGTTTTCGAAAATGTCTCTCATTTTCAGTAAAAATTTTCATTAAAACGACCATAATTCTTCAATCGTAAGTTATAAGCCCAAATTCTTATAAGCTTTTCTTAGTCTCACTGAGACCTACTCTCAGCCATAATGTGAAGCCGAACGGTATCCAACAGTTACATATATATTCCTTCGTGTATATATATATATATATATATATATATATATATATAACGTGTTTGTACGTTATAAATGCTGATAAGTTGTGTAATTTTCTTGTTATTCTTTATTATACAAGTGATTCTCTTCTATATTAAATATAAACACATGAATCATCATAATTGATAATAATTAGTATCGAATAGAGAAATTGAATGAGACCGAATCAGGGATATTAAACCATTAGCTTAATATTTCCTATTGATGCATGAAATATTCTTACATGTCAGGCGTTTCTTTTATAATTCTATTGTTTTCTGTTTTTAAATAATAAAAATTTTCTACATACTCTTCACCTCGATGAACTTGAGCATTATATGTTGTTGAATTATCTATAAGATCTATTTTAGTATCATTAACTAAAAGATATTCAACATCAAGTATAGGTAATTCATCAACTACATCAACGGAACATAAACATTGCCGAATTATTGGAAAATCTCCAAAACGAAATTCTTGATTTGTTGACCAAATATGATAACGAAGACCTAATCAAAAAAAAAAAACAAAAAAAAGAAATATTATTTACATTTGAAGAAGATTATTTTTATTTAAACCTTGTATCCGAAGTTGACCAGTTTCTTTTGGTATACAATCAATTAATAAACATTTTGTTGTTCGTGATGGTATACGATATTTTCTATCAAGTTTTGTAAATAATTCAATTTCAGTTATAAATTCTAATTGATCAATAAACATTGTTTCTGGTAAATAATTCTCTACTACAAGTCTTATTTGTGCTTGTTCATTTTTTACCCAAAGAAAATCTGAGACAAAAAGAAAATAATTCAACAAAATACAAAGAATTTTTTTTTCAAAACAAAAAAGAAAAATTTAATAAATATATATCATACCTACTTTCCGATGAAGAGATTGTTGTTGACTAGGTAAAGAACGTTTTGCATGATAAATAAATATATTATTTTTTGGTTCAGCTTTCCATGCTTTTAATCGATTGGATAAAGGCATAATATCAAGAGATCTATTCAACAAGAAATAAAAAAAAAATATCAAAATAAATCAACTAAGTAAAAATAAATGATTTACTTCAATCGAGGAATACTACAATATGAACAACTGATAGATTGATCACTAGCATTTAAAAATGTCAAAAGTGCTTCTAATTCAGCATCAGTCATATATTCAATTAATGATTCAATTGCAAAATGAACATTCCTAAAATACAAAAAGAAAATAACGAAAAGAAAAAAATAGATCAATAAGAGACATAGGAAGATGTGAAATCTTCAAAGTTAGAATTAGGAAACCTAGGATATTTTCAATAAGAATAAGCTTTATGGTCAAGAGGTATAGGATACGAAAAAAAACCTTTCTAGATAATCCAAGATTTAATTTTTTCTTTACTTTAAACTAAAATCTAGGAGAGAAAAGTTACCATTACGTGACCCAGTAACTGATAACGAAGAATTCGTGGATGTGATTCTTTCGTCATGGAATGACCGTTGAAGAAACATTACGATCTCTTGTAAAGTTTTAGCAAAGACTTTCGAAGTCGAGAAATCCAAATTTGTAATCGATTTTCTCAAAATTATATACTTGATTTTTCGATGAAGTTTGCTGGGCCTCGAAAACCTATGATCAAACTTCATAGAAAAAAAAACTAAGAATTTTCTCTCCAGTAGCTATTCCCTGACGAAGGAATCAAATTCACGAAAGCTTCGTTACTCTACTATGCAGTAACTGGTAATGAGAATAGAAAAAAAAAGTAAGAACAAACTCGATAATAGTAGTAAAATCATTTTTTTTAAGACTAATTTGAATTGATTCATTAATAATTGTTTTTTGTATCAATGGAAAAATCAATTGATTATCTAAATGAATAAATATAAAAATCATAATCAAAAATAAAATCAATTCATAAATTTTACCATCAATTCCATAACCTTTACGAGCTTTTCTAATTAATTCATCAAAAAAATCGATCTCATCATGATAACCTTGTTGTTCACTTAATAATGTTAAACCCGAAAAAGCTGCTGATCGATAATATAATGCACTTTTTCGTTTCCAACCAACAAAAGCATATATTTCCGCAAGATAAGCATTTAGATATATCTTAAAAAAAAATATATATACATATAAATTTCTACATTCATTGACATATATAAAAATTTTATATTTATCTTACACTATCAATATGTTCTTCTAAATATGAACCTAATATATTTATTTGATTAATATATTGATTAATATCATCTCGATATTTCTATTTAATAAAAAATACAAAAAAAAAAAAGATCAAGAATATGAAATAAAATAATAAATACTTTAAGATCAGTTTGTTCTTGTAATAAACTACACCAACGTAGACAAGCATCAAGTTCAAGTCGAAATTCTGCTTTATTAAATAACGAACGATTAGCTGTTCGATAAATTTGTATAGCCATTTCCATTCTAGGTTGTAAATTTAATGGTGTATTTGATCGATTTAAATATTTATCTACTGGTAATTCTAGATTTTCAAAGAATAAAAATAATAAAATTCAACAAAAAAATAAATAAAATCTTACTTTTAGTCAATGAAATTTGTTTTAAAAATGTTAATGTTTTTTCCATTTGACGTTTTGGTTTATGTGTTGATAAATAACTTGCTGCTACACGACCTTCTAATGCAGCTAAACAAAAAAGAATATATTGAATTTTTCTATATGTATTAAAATTTCCAAAAGAAAAAAAAACAACAGACCTGCAAACCACATAGAATCATTTTGAGTTTTAAGTGCATCTCCAGCACGATGATAATCTTGATAACCTTTATCAATTGCACCTAATAGTAAACAACAATCACCTTTACGTTTAATTGTTCGTGTATCAATTAATTTTTTTGATGATCTAAATTTTAAAGAATTTTTCAACTTTTTTGTTTTTTTTTTATTCTTGAAAATTTTACTTATTTTTTGCTGCTTCAATACCAAGAATAGTACTTGATTTTAAATATTGATTAAATAATATTTGCATCATACGCATATCAAATTCATTTAATACAGATGTAAATATACGATCATTAATAAATCCATTACGATATTTACTTTGATTATCAAGTAAAGTACAATCTTTTTCATCATTTATCATTAAACGAATATCACCTATTTGTGAATCAATTGATGATGTAATTGTATCAAATCTTGTAGATTCTAGTGTAATTTTTGATAGATTATTTTCTAAACGATATAATGCACGTGTTAAATCACTATCAAATGAATCGAACATATTTGTTGTTGATAATGTTTTAGTTTTAAATAATGATGGTTTTGATTTTTTTATTGATTGATCATTTGATGTTATGGTATTTATTGAAATTGATGCAATTGCATCATCGTCATCATCTGGAGGAGTATCAGTTCCACTTGCATGAAACGTTGGTATACCATTTAAACTATTTGTAAGCAATATTGAGTCAGATGCTATACTTACAATATCATCATTTGATATTGAGCGTCCTAATTTCATTGATGTCAATGATTGAGGTAATGAATGATAAGACTCAGTACCTGCCAAGCTTGAAAATGATGGACGAGATGAATCTGCATAATCACTAAAACTAAATCATAATCATATATATAATATATGTATTTTTTCAAATATTAGATTTTGTCAATTTTACTTGATGTATTTATTACTTACGATTCATCAATAGGTTCATTATGAAGTTTATCATCAGTTGACATTTCATCATTATCATCCTTACACTCTGTAGTTCTATAACGAATAAATAAATGTTTGTAAGCATCTTTTTCTCGTTGTTTAATTTTAGAAAATTCATCAAGTACAGTTCGTAATTCTTCACTTGTATGACAAACAGTAAAAAATATCAAACCAAATGGTCGACGATATAATTGGATTTCATTTAATGATGCTTCAGCAATAGTTAAACTTTGTCTTACAAAACAATATTCAATTTTAAAATTTTCAAATGTAAATTCTTTATGACGATAAAGACTTGTGGAAAATCTACAAAAAATAAATTTTAATTTTGAAGAACGGAATTAAAATAAAATTTACTTTTGAAAATCCGATGATGGTTCTTTTAATGGATTATTAGGTAATTCTTGTACAACAATTCGAACTTGTCGATAGTCAGTAAATGATGTATCAAAAAATTGTTTGAACATTGTTGTTATTATTTGATTTTAATGTAATAATAAATAAAGAAATTTATAAAAAAAATAAAAGAAAACAAACTAAAAGACAATGTGACTCAACACTTATATTCAATTGTGAGATAACGATTCTTTACATCGAACAAAGAAAAAGAGGAAAAAAAGATATCTAAAAATATGAAAGAAAAGATAACAATTGTTTGAAGAAAAAAATATATATAAGAGTTGATAACAAAAAAAAAAGAGAAAGAAGTTTGTTAAATCTTTCTTTAATATTTGCGATATAACTTACATTTCCTTTTTGAAAGATAAAAGAATTCAAATTCATACTTGTATTTCATAATAAATCAATTGAGTAGAAATTCTTGAATTTTCAGATAAGATTATTCTTTCATAGTAAAGTTATTCAAAATATTGAATTTGATTTTATGAGAAGAAAATCTCAACGAGTCAAATGTAGTCGTTTTTTTTTGTTTCTTATAAATCATTTGTAACGGATGCAGCAGAATAAATGCTGATCACACTATTTTGACCATAGTTTTTCAATTTTTATTCTATCGAGTTATTCTTTTTTTTTCAAAGATTCTCTCTTCAATACTCTACAGAATGGTATTATTTATAACACAAATATAATCCTTCCTTATTTCTAATAATTAATGGAAGTATTGGAGGCAGTAATGGAAACTTTCTCAAAAATTGTTTTTTTTTTGTATATGAGCTGAAAATGCTCACGCAATGTGCTAGAGTTTGTTAAAACAAAATTCAAGCTAGTCAGACAATTGAAAGATGATGTGGGAAGCTTAAAAGATACCTATCTTTGTGAATCATGATCTGAAAGGAACGTTGAAATATGGACATTCTCTCACAGATCGTATATCAATAACACCTTGTTATAGTGTATGAAGTACTTCCTTATTACATGTCTGGAAGATTGAATAAAAGGATGATGAAGAAATGTGTATCAAAATAGATAGAATAAAACAACCTTCCTGTAATTAGTAATAGTAGCTACATCGTGTTTCACATTTTAATCCCGTAGAGATTGCACTAATTGCCTTTTTGGATAGTTGCCATCGCTTGCTTCGATACTTTCATTATCTGTTAGAAAATGGAAAACGTTACATTTGTCTTATGACATATATCGTTTTGTGGAAAAATTGAATGAAAAATCTTTGAAAAAATAGCAGCTCGATAGAGTGAAAATAGTAACACACTGCCATTTATTCTATCCCATCTGTTAATTGCACATCATATTGAGCTGAATTATAATTTCATAATGAACATTTTCATTTTATATTTACAAGTTATAATCTTTATACGATTTTTGATCAAGTGAATATATATATTTTTTTTTTTCTCATTTTATTCGACAAAATGCGAATAACAAACAAAAACAAGAGAAACAAATCGTTTGTTTTATAATTTTAATCGTTTTGAATCTGTAATTGTTGTTTTATCCGAATGATGACGTTTTTTTGTTGGAGTTATTAATGTTGATTGTTGAAGTTGTTGAAAGAATTTCGTTGAACTACGTGCTGTTTTTTCACTTGATCGTTTTTTATCAGTCTTAAATTAAATAAAAAAAAATTTTTCATTAAAAAACTTTAAAAAAAGAAAATTCTTTTTTTGTTTTTTACTTTTTCAATTCGAACATTCTTCATTTTACCAAGTTTCTTCAATAAATTTCGTTTTTCTTCTAGAAATATGATTTAATAAATTTCTTTATTATTGTTGTTATTTTTTTTTTTGTCATTATTACCTTTCTCTTGTTCTTCAGGATTTGTTTTCGTTGGTTGAGTTTTTGATTTTAATTTAAGTTTATGTTTAAGTAAACGTCTTGCATGTTTTTTATCAGTATCTGTTCGTTCACTATCAGCTTTAATATCACCTTTTGGCCTTATCTAAAATAATAAAGAAATAAAATCTTTTAAAAACTAAAAAAATCAATTCTTTTTTTGTTTTTGTTTTAATTACATGAACTTCTTCTGGTGCAAGTAATGTTGAATCATTAACAGTTGTTGGTACAACTTCTTCAACTAAAATAGCTGGTAAATTATTAATAACTGTTACTTCAGGTACAGGCTAGAAGATGACAAAAAAAAAAACAAGTTTCTATAAAGAAAATTAATTAAAATATATTTAATTCATACTGGTTTTGGTGTAAATCTAAAATTAGATAAAGCATCGAGATCGATAAATAAATTTTGCATAATTTGTCGAATATTTTCATGTCTTTCATCTTTTTTTTCTGTTTTATCATTCTAATAAAATGAGAAAAATAATTAAATGAAATTGTAATCTATATAAATTAGTTACTGTTTGTTTTTTCATATATTCCTGTTCATAAACTTGTGCTAAACTCATTTTACTTTTTTCATGTTCAAGTACAATTTCTTTTTTATATGCTTGAGCTTCATTATCATGTAATGTTTTCTTTTTACGTTCAACATCATCAAATGCTTTATCACGTATACGTTGTTTTATTAAATCTTCTATTGAATCTGTTGTTTCAGTTGTTATTACCGGAGCTAAAAGACAGACAAAAATCAAATAAATCACATGATGAGTCTATTTATCTATATACGTAATCGAGTAGTTCGATCATATTGTAAATATTCTTCAAGTAAACTATTTTCTGGTCGTTTATGACCTTCGATTTCTCCAGTTAATTGCCATGATTTAGTACTTAACATATCTTTTTCAATTGATTTTATTTGACGTTTTAACTAAAATTAATTAAATAGATGTATAAGAAATTTTAAAATGATCTTTACGTGAATTTGTTGTTTTTCAAATTCTGATTTATTTTCAAGATCAATATATTCATCATCAGCCTCTTCTTTATTTTCTTCGTCTTGATCAATGTCAACGTGATTATTTTCTCTATAAATAAATGTATAAGAAATTTAATATAGATAAGTAATATTAAAAATGATACATACGTTTCAATTTTTTCTTTTTTCTTTTTTTGTTTAGTTTCAGTTGGTGGATCGAAAAATTCATCATAAGTTGCATCTTCCTAAATAGATGATTTGAATATTTATTTGTTAGAATATTTTATATTTGAGATTTACATTTTCTTCATCAAGAGATAGACCATCATCATCATCATCGTCATCGTCTTCAAGATCATCATCGTCTTCATTTATCTTTCGATTTGATCTAAATAAACACAGATATGTTTCTATTATTTTTCTAGAAAAATTACTTTGATATTTCTTGAAAATCTTGTTCATTAAGAAATTTATTTAAAGCATTTGAATCAAAAAATCTAAAAAAATAGAATTATATTTAAATCAAATAAATATTTATTCAATTTTCATACGTCACAGATTTTTTCTTTTTTTTTGAATTTTTTTTTGTTGATATTGATAAATCTTCATTATTATTTTCTTCTTCTTCTTCTTCTTCTTGTTTAATATTTTCTTCAATTAATGATGGTTTTTCTGGTGATGGTGATCGAAGTAAATTACCAAATGTTTTTTGTTTTGTTTTATTTTTAACAATAGTTGCTAGAAATGATTTAAATCGAGTTTCATTAATTGATTTAAGTTGTTGATAAATTTGTTCAGGTTCAAAACCATGTATATGTATTGAAAGTGGTGTAACTGTATTAAATGATGATGGTAATAATGAACATTTTAAATCAGCAAAATGTTTAACATAATTAGCAAATGTTTCAGAACGTTGTTTATCAGTTCTATTAATTTTGAAATAAGAAAAAAGAAAAGAATATATCAAAAGAATAGAATGAGAAAATTCTTACATGATAAAATCTTCAATTTTAGTTAAATATGAAAAAATAAGATCATCATTACGTTGTTCATTAGATTTAGAAATAGGTGGATTTACCATCTAAAAAAGAGAAATTGAATATTGATTTTGAATGATAATAAAAATTCTTAATAAAAAGAAATAAAATTAGTAAATTGATAGAATATGAAAGAAGTTAATTCTACAATTGGTCAATAGAAAAATTCATTCATTGTTTCTGTCAAAAGATGACGTTAGTTGAAAATATCACTGATTATTGATAGATACATAGTAACGAGTGTTTCTAAAATTCTTAAACAAATGTTAGACTCAACCGTACTTGAATAGAATGTGATAGAACTGCTCATTCATGTTGTTTGTTAGCTAGAATGTGATCTCTTTTTTAAAACGAAATATTTTGTCAGTTACTATTTATGCACTTGTCGCTGTTGAGAAATAAATCAACATTATGGCTAACGAGGGGAAGTATGCAAGACGTTCAGTTCCGCTTTGATTCGTTCATATCTCATTCAATAGAATATAGTGAGATAAGAAAAAGTCTAAAAGGATTCGAGTCCATGGCCTATAGCGAAGAGTTTTGATCGGAAATTTTGCCTATAGATTGATTTAATAGTCATTAGATAGTTCTGAAAGTTTCAACGAAAACGAATATGTTTTTCTCGAGATAATTAATTTCCAAATAGAATGGATTATTTTGTCCATCTATGGTAAACCGCTGTTTGTCTTTAAAAATTGAATACTTCGAGAAGGACATGTTCATTTTCTTTAAAACTTTCGGTAGCATCTAATGACTATTAAATTTATCTCTAGAAAATATTGCAGATAAAAAGTTTTTCATTTTGGTTTTTCCGAAATGCCTTATTTTCAGTAAAAACTTCAATAAAACGGCCATAACTCTTCGGCAGTACACCATAGGCTTGAATTCTTTTAAGCTTTTTCTTATCTCAATATACTCTATCGAATGAGATACGAATGAATCAAAACGGAACTGGACACTTCGAGTACTTCTGTCGTAAGCTGATTTTTACATATTTTGTAAACAATTCTATCAGCGCTTGCTACACATAAAAAACATAGTCCAGCATGATTATTATCATTTGTGTATGGCAGAATATTGCTTTTTAAAACTCGAATATCAATAGTTCGAAAATCTTATTACTTCGTGTATCCCTTCTGTCACAAACGATTAGAACACGATCAACTACGGCAGAGAAAACTATTCTGGAACTAAAAAAAATATACAGATGTAGTTAATTCAAATATTTGCTCGAAACTAATTTGATAATTAAAACTGTGAAGCTTTCTGTTGTACAAAATTTATGTCGACTAAATTTTCATAAACAAATCTCTGTAAAGAAAAGTACGTTTCAGTTAATTTTTTTACTCTAAGCAAAATTTAAGCAAATACAAAAATTTAAACATCATTTTAGTTTTAAAGTGCATGCTATTATTGAGACATACAACTTGTTAACTGCTTAACTGAAATTTATTAAGTATAATATTAAATGTTCAGCATTTATTTTATAATTAGAAAAATTCTCTTCAAGAATATCTCACGTTATCGATAATTATTTGATGAATATTCTTATCAATTAAAAATTCTTTTAATATGTATTAATGCAAATGATGAAGATATATTTGAAGTATTCACTTAAAAAAATAGTTCTATCTGAATTTGTTTTCAAATCTGTATCCTCTGTCCGATGTTCGATAGAGTTTCAAATTTTCTCTTATGATGTAACAAAGTTTTTGACATGTTCTTCAACAAAAGTACAATTACGAGAACTAAATTGTTTCTTTTTTCCTGCAATTAATTCTCATTCTGTTTGAGGATGGCATTCGAATTCCACTCAATTGTAAATCATAGTGCAAAGCTTCCAATGTCGGTTGACGGATAAATTGATATTTTCTAAGGGACGAATAATCGTTTGGATGATTCAATGCTAAACGTTTTTCTCCAAAAGATAATCACGCTATTCTAGAATCAAGGTTTCTCTTTTTACTGCTGTAAATCGGAAAAGTTGCGTTTCGACCAATCAGATGATCGAAGTCAAAAAGGAACTGTGAAGTTGCTATAGTCAAAATTCTTTGGTGAGAAAACTCTATTAACGGATAGAAACATGATTTTAAAGAATACTCTCTCTGATTCATTATCGATCTTCAGCTGTATTCACAGCTGTCTTAGCCACAAGCAAAGTGAGAAACGGCTAATGTTTATTACAATCTTCGTCTTAGTAATCTCGAAGCTTGAAAAAAAAAATCAAGTTCATAAAGCTTGTCTTTTTGGGTGACTTTCTATAGGAAAATGGAACGTCATATTAAAAAACAGAAAACGAATGCTATAGAATCAATTATGAGATTTCATTTTCGCATTTGAAGGAGTAATTTCTCACTTTCACTTTTTGAGATCATCGTAACAGAAAATGACAACTTTTAATGCCTATGTCGAGACTAATCAACTTTTTGGTACACTTAACGTTAGTTAGACGAATAACGTTATGTCAATGATAATTATAACATTTTATTTAAATCTATTGATCTTCAAAATTGAATATGATCTTAACATTGAAATAGTTGTTCGAAATTGTATTTTTAAAGATGATAAGGTAATTGCATTTGTCGAACTAATTATAGAAATATTTGTTCATTTTTCTAGTATAAAATTCATTGACTGAATATAATTCAATAAGAAAATAGCTTGCAGTGTCTGTTTGTTGATGACAAAATGAAGTTTATAAAAGATTTATTTTCATTTATTTAGATAAATATTATTTCATATTGAAAAGAATATTGCTTATGATAAACAACATACTCTCTCTGCTTTGTTATGAACGCTGGAAAGAATTATTGAAACTGCATGATCATCAATATGATGAATTCATTTCATATGTAGTTCATGTGCACTACATTGATGATCCGTCTCAAGCTAAAAATCTTTATGAATAGACTATTATCAAGTTATCACTATTGGATAATCAATGAACATGCGAACTTGCCGTGTATTATAGTCGTCTAGATTATTATTTACAGAATAGAAAACGCTTTTTTCGTCGTTATGTACATCTTCTTGTTATTATTGGTGATTCCGCCATCTTATTACAAAGTCACTTGCAAGAAGCAACCACATGTTATTTATAATACGCTGCACATGATTCTGCTCAACCAAGCTCTACAATGAATAAAATAATGTCCAAACACGTTTTGTAAATATGCACTATGTCTGTTTTTCTTTTTATAAGAAATCAACAAGATCATACTTTCGAGATATGATAAACTATGTTGAACTAGTTCAAAATCTTTAGGATTATAATGATATTATATCTCGCAAAGCAAAAGATTGTCTGATCCTACGTGTCATTTTCTTTCAGACGAAAGTATTTTATTTCACAAAATTAATTTAAGACAAATTATTTCAAAAGGTACATAACGACATTTCAATAAGTAGTGAAGCGAAACTTAAGAACATGTTGAAAGAATCTTTGAATGCCATTGTCATCAATTCGAGGGCTATGCTTAAGGACATTAGTGACGAGTGACATTACTCTTCAAGGGAGAATAAGCGCAGCTTCAGTACTTTTTTTTTTCTTCTTACATTACATAAATACAAGTTCTGAACAACTTGTTCACTGCTGTCAAGAACGCCGCACAAGTGTCAAACTCAAATATATTTTTTTGTTTGATTTGAGCAAATTATTAAAAAAGAAATCTACTGTTTAAAAAGCTTTTTGAAATTCAATAATCTTTTTCAAAAAATTTAAATTGCTTCGAAAGAAGCTGTACTTTATACATTTTATTATGAAGACATAAGTGAACTTTATTCTGATTAACTTCATTCAAAAAAAAGTAATTAAAAGTACAAAAGAAAACTTTTTGTATTTTGATTAAAAGAAACACGAACTGAAAGACTATCAAAGCTATCAATATGAACGATTGAATCAATCAGACATAGATATTATTCGATAGACTTTATTTTAAGTTTGAACTTTTTTATATTAAGTCTACTGATTCATTTTTCAATTTGAGAAATATATATCAACATGATTCTATTTAAAAGCTATTTTCTTGTGTGTATCGTAAAATTTGACAAAAATGTGTTGTTGAATTGATATGAACAACATAAGAAAAGAAAATGAAACTCTTTAAAAAATTTGACAAATTCATTTGTCATACAGAAAAATAAATAAATAATACTAGAAGCAGAAGAAAAATTCTTTTTTTCTTATCGACAGTCAAACACATTTTTAGGATAGTCACAAAGTTGAGTACGTAAATTGAATATTGTCATTTCTGGACATTCAGTTTTCGATCTAATATAACCAGAAAAACAAAGAATTGATAAAACTTAATATTTCTTCATTATTTCTTACTTTTGTTGACAATCAATAAATCGTCGACAATTACCCGGATAACGAATTCGTGCAGGATTTGGTACTTGTGATGGACATGGATCAACTAAATCAATCGAAGCAAAAAAAACACAAGAAGCTCGATATTCTCGATTCAAAAATACTTTATCAATCTACATACCACATATTTTATTATCATCAGGTACAAATTGATGTGAACATTCACATGCTCCATCACGACATTCAGCATTATCAACACATTCAGCTGTAGCTCGATCACATACAGCACCTGGATCACCACGACATTTACGTACTGATGGATGGTATTGATAATGTGATTCACATGAACAAACGGATGGTGTTATTGTTTTATTACACACAAGATTTGCTCGACAATCGATATTACTTTCACACGGAGCTTGATAATCACCACCTTTAATAAAACCATGTCTTTTTTAGAGCGAATTTTGAACATCAAAAGAGAAAATGTGTACAAGTCGATTTATTATCAATTTTTATTTTATCTAAGTAATATTCTCTTTCGTATGATTTTTAATGTGTTTTATGAAATATTTTTTTTTTAGTTAATAAAATTGTTCAAGAAAAAAATAACGACTAATTCAATGTGAAAATCGATATATAAACAAATATACTTACGACATCGGCGCCTAGGATTATCGTATTCAAACTGTTTCTGACATTGACATTGACGTGTTCCATCATTCATACCCATACAGAGCATATATTGTTGACAATCAGTATCTTTTGTACACAAGGCATTCAGATCACCAACTAATATCAAATAACATTATTCAAATAATTACAATATAAATTACACTTACCACATTGATCTCTTATGAAATCATATTTTAACGGACATCGACACATGCCTGGCGTTGATGTTCCTTTTTTATGACATATAAATGGACGTTCACAACCACTATCATAATCGCATGATTCACCATAACGAGCAACTAAATAAATAGAGAACAAAAAGCAGTTATTTTGATCCAATAATTCATTTAAAAATAAAAGAATAAAAGACTGAGCTCAAAGCAGGAAAGTGTACGCTAAAGAATGTTCAGCAAAAGAAATATAGTGAACACTAATGTCTGATTTTTTTTGCTATTCGTATTAGCATAATAGAATGCCCATACGTTGTTTTTCTGTGTTTGTTGTCAATTGAATAGTAGTAGTCGTCATGAATGTTGTATCAATAATATTTGTTGATAAAGTCGGTTTGATATTGATAATCGATGTCAATAATTGTCGTTCATTCCGCTGTATGACTAGATATTTCGAGTGAGAAAAAAGTGATAAGAATAGCGTGTAGAATTCATCAATAAGTGTATAGTAAGTCTTGAAAAAAAAAATTTGACTCAAGAATTCTGTTTACCTCCATCACTGGTACCAATATTAGTTGAATTTATTTCTCGATAGATAATTGGAGTTCGTCCTAGGAATGAGTATTTTATTTGTAGACATTATTTTTAATTAAAGAAAGAAAATGAAAGTATTATGTAATTGAGAAAAAAAAAGAAGTTTTTTATTCGTTATTTTGTATCATAAAAAACATAAAAAAACAAAGAAAATCTCTTCTCAAACTAGCGAATAACTTACCTTGAAATGTCCATGATAAAATAAAAATACCAATAAGTAGACCAAACATAATAATAGCAAATAAAATTAGAAGACAAGTTAATAATCGACGTTCTCGTGATAAGTGATTGAAACGGATCCGTAGTCTGCAATAATCGGATTTTGTTTCAAGTAATGTTGGTATTGATGATGACAATGATAAAACATGATCAGTCATTTATATTGACTGCATGACAAAATTCAAAGATGCCTTTCAAATATCACTTTAGTTGACTGTTCGAATAAATCTGTAAGTTTATTCGTTCTTTTTCTTGCTCACTTTTTATATATGTATTCTTTCAATAGTCTCTATATGAATGTGTATAGTTGGGTACCAAGACAACGTATTCTCTCTTCTCTTCTCATATATGTATGAATGTATGCTCAGAATAAGTGAGTTCATCTAACTGAAGAAAAAAGTGTATTGACAGAGTGAAGTAATGTATATAATCTCTCTTAGAAAAACGAAACAAAACATGTCATATCATGATGTAAGAAAGTATTTTTTTTTCTTGTTTTATTTTAGTTTCATTCCTACCTTTGAAGTTGTTCATGAATGGAAATATTTGATTCTGTTGATGTAAGAATTGTTGATCGTGATCCATTTTGTTTATTATCATTATCGATTTCATCATTATTTGATGTTTGAAATAGATCTGTTAATGGTACAATACGATTACCTGTATTAGTATATGTTGATAATTGAATGGATTGATTGTTTTTTATTTGATGATTATTTCTATCAGACATTTTTGATAACAAATGTTTTTGTTGTTGTTGTTGAACGTTAGATGGTTCGATATATGAGTCGATTTCTTCTTGTTCTTCTTTTATACTATGACGAGTGGCCTTATCATCACCATCATGATCATCATTGACTTCATTTTCTTCTTTTTGTTCTCTTTTTTCTTTCTCAACATTTGCAAAATTTAATATGAATTCTGTTTCTGTTGCTTTGTCACAATATTCGACATATCGTCGAACAGATCGTATTCGCGGTTTTTTTTCACCTTCAACCATACTTGTATCAAATTCATGATATAACTCAATTTGAGGACGTGCTAAATTAACTTGTATAGCTTGATCATATCGTTCTATATTTGTTCGAAATCTTATTGGTTCACTTATTTCTGTACCAATACATTTATCATCAAAATGATCATATATAATTTGTGTTTTATTTTGTTTTTGTTTTTTAAGTGAAAGACTACTTAATGAACGAGCAGGTAATTGTACAAATGATTTAACACGTTGTAATAAACCACCACTATGACGAAGATTAGTTTGAGAATTTTTATTTGATTTAATACGATTTTCTTTTCGACTTGATTGACGTTGTTTTTCACTGGAATTTCGTTCCGATATATTAAATCGTTCTGACTCAATAGAAAACATAGATATAGCTTCATAATCAATCATCTTATCATCATCTTTAATTGATTTTCTTTTTTGTCGTCGACGTCGACGACGATGATGTTCAGATTTTTCTTGTATATATGGATATTCATGACCAAGATATGCGTCTCGAGCATCAAGCCATCGTTTTAAAGCTTGTTTTGACATTTTAGGAATATGTAAAATAGGTGTAAGAGGACGACGACTTGAATATGATAATAAACTTCTATGAGATTTTGGACTATGAGAACCAATTAAACGTTTAAGTTTTGATTTACCAGCAGAACGACGATATTCTGCACTTCTCAAACTTAAATTTTCTATTCCTGAAATTTATTAAAAGAAAACAAAAAAAAAAAAAAGAAACAAAGACACTAGATGAATGTTTCGAATAAATTTTCATATAAGAAAAAAAACCACTCACGTTCTTTCAATTTTGCTGTACTTATACGATGAGACGAAGATGATGAATTTAAATTTCTACTAGTTGTCAATAATTTTCCTTTTGATTGTTGATAATCATGATTATCCATTATTGTTGATTGTCGATTACCACTATGATGACAGACCCATTTGTCTGGTTGCCATGCTGATGGTATTTTTATCTGTTGCCGTTTTTCCTGCATTTTGTACATACAAAATATTAACATTCGCACAGATGATGTTAAAGGTAGGCCTTCTCACAGCGCCCCCATCTTATCTATTCTCTTTTTACTAGTTTCATAGACAATTTTTTATTTCTGTTGCACATATTTATTGAAATGATCAAATTACACACATTCATAGAACCTATTCTGATGTCCTTCATAACTAATAAATGAATGGATGAGAAGTGAAGAGAAAAATGAATGATGCAGTTCGATAGAATAGAATTTTTTTGATTGATCAGTATCGAAAATAAAAAAACATATCAATATTTAAATCGATATTTAAAATAAAATAGTAACTAGAACTATTTTCATTATTATAATTAATATCGCAGGAATCGATGCAATTAGTGCTGGAGCAACATTGGAGAAGTGTGATGTTGTTTCCGGTGTTACCAAATTAGTCGAAGTAAAATTTTCATAATTGAATGCTGGATGGTTAATCATCGATTTTGGCATACCTAATTCATAATTTCCACAATAACCAGGCAAAATTGGTTGAGCAGGTATTCCTCGTCTAAAAAAACAAAAACTATTAAATTCATTTCTAAATTATTATTTCATTAACCTCAATAAACGACATCGATGAACATCCTAAGATTAGACAACCAAAAAAAAAAAATAATTAGAGATATTTCTAAAACTTTACCAATCGAAATTGAGCATCTTCAGAATTATTAACACTTGCAGCACTCCATAATCGTTCAGCTACAGCAGATGCTTTTGGCCAAAAACGTGGTAATATATTTGTACCATCAACGAATTCAGCCCATAAACA